TGCAGTAGCATTTGCAGTTGCAGTAGCATTTGCACCCTCCCCCAACACCACCACCGCCCCCACTAACATCAGTAGAAATTGATGCATAAGTAGTAACAGCACAGCACGTGTGACAGCAACATCAGTAGCAGCAGAAACAACAGTAACAGCAACACCACCACCACCACCAGCAGCAGCAGCAGCAGCAGAAACACCACCACACAGGCACTTGGAGCATTTCAATAAAATATAATTCTAAATAAATACGAAATCTATTTACTACCAAAGTCTTCGTGTTTCTCTAGGCCTACTCTCTTTCGCCTATTATTGCCGACAATTTCCTGTAAATGCCGTGCAAATGCTCCTCTGCAACACACATGTACATCGCGCGCACGCTGCCGTACACTGACACACATATATAGTCTCTCTATATAATCTCTCTCTATATATATGTGTCAGTGTGCGGCAGCGTGCGCGTGGTGTACGTGTGTTGCAGAGGAGCATTTGCACGGCATTTACAGGAAATTGTCAGCAATAATAAGGGAAAGAGAGTAGAGAAACAAGACTTTGGTTGTAAATAGATTTCGTATTTATTTAGAATTATATTTTATTGAAATGCTCCAAGTGCCTGTGTGGTGGTGTTTCTGCTGCTGCTGCTGCTGCTGGTGGTGGTGGTGGTGGTGCTGCTGCTGCTGCTGCTGGTGGTGGTGGTGGTGTTGCTGTTACTGTTGTTTCTGCTGCTACTGATGTTGCTGTCACACGTGCTGTGCTGTTACTACTTATGCATCAATTTCTACTGATGTTAGTGGGCGGTGGTGGTGTTGGGGGAGGGTGCAAATGCTACTGCAACTGCAAATGCTACTGCTATTGCTGCTGCTACTCGTAGTACTGCTACTACTATTGTAACTGTACCGGCTATACAAGCACCTAGATATTCATCTCTCCCATCGCATATATATCAACTAGACAGAGTGCACTCACGGAGTGCATACCTCCGCCAGCGACATACGCCATACGCAATACGACTCACGAACACACGAATAACCCACGATATACGCCAGCGTACTGACATGTACACGCTGGCTTGCTGGCTTGCTACGAGCGAGCCGCTCGTTGCTGCTGCTCGCTGACATGTACACGCTCGCTGGCTCGCTGGCTGACGCGCTAATATCGATCGTGCGAACACACGAACACACGCACACGAGAGCGAAACTCTGTTGGGTGGAGGTAATAATTTGAACAAAGCATTTGTTACTAAGGTGACAGAGATGACATGCTAGGAAATGTACCAGAAAGATACAAAGGAAGAGAAAAGAGAGAGAGAGATAGTGAGCGAGTGAGAGAGACAGAGAGAGAAAGAGAGAGAGATAGTGAGCGAGTGAGAGAGAGAGAGAGAGAGAGAGAGAGAGAGAGAGAGAGAGAGAGAGAGAGA